GACCACATATAGTGTAATCTGCAATTAAAAGTATGAATTATTGATCAATATGCAGGTACGCAAGGCGACACTTTTCTAATATAGATTCAAGCAGCTGTGACTTAATGAAGCGTGCAATGGGGTTATTGGCTTTTCAGATAGATACCAATTGTCAACCGTACCAAGTACGTTTATGATCGTGTATGCTGTCTTGATATCAATACCATCATACACTTCATCGCACTTTCTTTTAGAAAATGTTTACTATTTCCTTCGCTTTCACTTGCAAGCTACAGTTATACTGTAATAATCTATTGTCTATGTATCTTTTCTGCCCTTAACCTTACTATCATTTCCTTATGACTGCACGAAGTACAATTGTACCCATAGTCGACTCTGATTTGTACGTAACAGTAAATTGGTATCTGGAAACACATGTGTACATACAGCTGATAGTTTAGTATACTTTATGTCATAGGCCTATATTTAAACACTATAACTGCACCCGTATCACGCTGCATACGGCAGGGACTACTGAAGCAAAAGGGAGACAGAAAGCGACTCTTTATCTTCAGTAGTCCTGGTATGATTCTTTTCGTCAGCAAAATTTTGTAAAGAAATATGTACATTACGGTACCATGAAGCAACTCAGTGCTGTGTTTGTTGTAAAATAATGATATTGTTCTTTAGGATATGTATGATCCACAGCGATGGAAAATGTTACTGCGACAGTTTCGGGATGATATTTTTTCCTTGTATCAACTTAAAGAACGATCAATGTTCTCTGTTATCCTTCAAGTTGGTCTGGCGTCTTTAAAAACTCCGTATCATATGTCAACATTACGCAGTTTTAGCTATATTGTTGTACTGTATTTACTTAAGTTAAAAAGCTGTAAATTGTACTGAAGTTACTGCATAAGATATATTTTATAACAGTAAAGATTGCTACTGCAAGATTTTAGTTCCTTAACTACGGATGCACAGTGACTGCTACGACGAAAACAAGAAGAGTTTGCAATGTCCAATATGTAGCAGTAACTTCAATGAAATAGCTCGAACTCTGCCATTTTCGCACTGTTCTCACTCACGCTTGGTATGCAGAATAAGTGGCGAAGAAATGAATGGTAACAATCCTCCAATGATGTTGCCAAATGGAATGGTTTACAGCGAGAAGGTGCGACATAACGAAAAATAATTGAATTTCCTTGATGGTTTTATTTATGCCAAAGATTAGAATTTCTTGTGATTTGTCGTGAGCTTTTTGACTTCATATGTTTATACAGGCTCTACTGAAATTAGCCGATTCTAACCATGGAACAGTAATCTGTCCACGAACTAATACTAGTTACCCGTTTAGCGAATTAAAACGAGTATTTTTACTATAACAATGTAAAAATAAGTTACAAGCTTGTTGCATTGATTACAAGGCTCTAATCATTCATGATGTATATCTGGTTATGTCATATAGACGCGTGCAAATAATACCGTACCACTCTTTATGAAGATTTATGGTAAATTTTTATACATCTCTCCTACGTTTCAGATGTATATCCGAATTTAAAAATCTTTAAATTGTATTCAAAAGTTTTAATATTTATAACTATAATCTATCAGTGATCTATAATAAAGTTTTACATTCATCTAATTACGATTTCGATATTTTAAAAGTGCGAATTAATTCACTGTATGATAACTCCTTGACTCTTTTATAATTTACCCATCCCAGCTATTTCTTGTAGATAGCCTAAAAAGGTTCTCATGAGAGTGATAACCATTAAACTTCTCTAATGTGTATCTGTTCTATTACACAACCCATCAGATTTTTTAAGACAATAAATAAATTTATCTTTTCGGCTACTTTTCACCGACCTATCAGACGAAAAGATGATTCAGTTTATTGTATGAATCTAAGCTTGCACGCAGACTACTTAGATTTCCGCTACAATTAACATCCATCTTCGGTAGAAGCTGCATGATTTATATAGAAAGAGATTTAAAATTTCATCTTTCTCAGTTCGTACGCAAGCCATAACGCATTCGTAAATAAAAGCAATGAGCCAGCTTGATGGGAAGCTGCTAACGGGGTTGGTACATAGTACAGCAGCGTAGTAATTCCCAGTGAAACCTTTGAGTTTATTATAATTAAAAAATGATTAAATTCGGTAAGTATAGTTATAATTATTTGAAATGATTTATGTAGTATTTACCTGCACTCCAGACATAGCTAATAAGCAGTTCGTCGCTAGACGAGCTCGCCTCGGTAACGTCAAT